CAAGGTTTCATTAATATGAAAACATCCAGCTATCCATCCACCTATCCATTTGCAACAGTCAGGAAGAGATTCGCAGACAGCCCCTAATTTTAACAATTTTTTGACATCATCTACATTAGTTACCGTCTTATTCCAAATCCAATATATTTACTCGCTTCCTTACCCACCTTCCCTGATCCACATCGATCATTCTATCCACAGGTCTGAACTACCAACTGTCACTTATTCTGGCATTGACCGCGATAAAACTACTCTTCCTTATGCACACTTCTCACGGAATCACCTCAGCCCTGTTTAAATTTTACAAGGAAAATTGAAAAGTAAGGAGGTATTCTTTAAAATGTGCAAATGTGCCAAGAAAAGACATGCCATGATAATGATCGTGTTATGCACAATTAAAGATAAGTCATCAATCGTAATTTACTACACTATGCAGATAGATGGAAGAAGTCAGTTTTTGCCAAACATCACCTTGGTGTGAGTAATGCTTCCCTTGGCGTTAGCATTCTACGATTCCCCTTCCTTACCACCGCTTAACATGCCGAGTGGGTGTTCTCTTTTTAACAAAATTCGGCTCGCTGCAGAAGGTGCAGTGATAGAGGCAGCCGGATTAAAATAAATTTGATTAGGATGAGATATGGACTGATAATACAAATAATTACCATTTTCTTCCTCTCCTCCTTTCTTCCTTTGCACAGATGTCCGTGTGGACAGTCAAATTGAACCCCTAATTCTGACCAACTGCGAATCGTTGTCATTTTATGGAAAGTCAAACTTTAAAGTACTTGGATGTGCAGGTCTACGTGCAAGTTTTGAGGCCCAACATTGTCCACCTTGTAGGATGAACCGTAAGATGGGTTGCCGGACCTAGGAACTAGGGAATCGCCAGATGTATGTGAAACAAATGATTACATACCAGTCTTCAGTCAGGTGTTTCATGGCAAAATGTAAAAAATGATAAAAACTGATGAATAAAAAAAGCCGGACAGAAAGAGAGACAAATATTACAGGGCCAGAGGATGGCTAGCTACCTGGTTGACATAACAGTTTGAAACGCTGTGGGTTTGTGCCATGAGAAAGATCAGCTTGGCGGACTTTTGTTGAGGCAAGACATTTGTGTAGTAGGTGGCTACACGAGAATCAAAGGCAGGCGCTTATACATCTACGAGAGCGAAATTCGGTGGTATTGACGGTGATGGCAACAGAACGCGGTATACTACGTCTACTACCGATGGTGATTGCTTGCAACGACGTAGGGGACAACAGAAGTAGGCCAACAATCAGACCTTAATATTACCAAAAAATGTGCAAAGAGAGACCCAATTATCGTATGCTGCAACTGCGTACAAAGCATCGAGCTAATACTCATCCTCATGGCTACCGTCAAGCATCCAATGAATTTAACAGCAAAAAAAAATCAGTCACTAACCACTGTGTTTTGCTCTAACGATACATATGACCATTAATGCATTTCCTCCCATTCGATCTACCTTCTTCAAAATCAAAGGCGCCACATATATGTGACGCGCGAGTTCAGGTAATAAAATCCTGTCAAGGGAACAATGGTAGAAGTGAGAAGTTAAGATCAACAAAGGGCAAAATAACTTTTTCCTCTCTACACTTAGCCACGTACCTTCCGATCTAAAACCCTGAAACACGAAGAGACCTGTCAGTGAGGCAGCATCATTCAAATGCAGCATTTGTGGTGGCCTCAAATATAATGAATTTTTGTATTCAGAAGCGAATGCACCGTGCTAATTCTTTACACAAAAGATGGTGTGTCGTGCACGATTCCACCAAAAAGGTTAGTTTGTGTGGACCATGTAAGGTGTATGCTCACATACACAAATGCGCCTTCTGTAGGGTGGAAAACCACCACTCACAGAATCGCCAATAACAATTCGCCTTTAGCTATCGTCATCAAGACGTCGGCATCATATAAATGACACGCGGGTGCGAGATTGCGTTTCGCATTGTCGCACCGTGCTTGTAGTAGATGTTCACTGGATCGGATTTGATGCCTTCCTCTCCTACCATCTTGATTGAGGCTATGACCCAAATCCTTGGAGAATTTATGCACACGGTACAAAATGAGGCCCTATACTTACTTATGGGATCATCGGTACTAATACTGGTAACTGTAGCAGCAGGCGGCATATCTTATATCACATTCCCATTAATCGACATCCGCAGCAATTACTCAACCAGCTATCCCTGGTGAGGTCAAGTGGACAACTTTGTGTGTAAACACCTGACGTATGTACTAAGGGGAAAGACTAGTTACTTATTGTATTATCCTGCAAGTGAATAATGTGTGATTTAGGGTGCCAGGGACGAAGGACTAAAATAAGCAGTCTGCATTTTGGGGCAGCAGATGCAAGTGGAACGAGAGCTAAGTCACGACACACCTTGTGCATAGCCTAAAAGGGCTAAGGACTTTCGACCCACGCAAAAGAATTACAACCATTCTCTCAAGCCACCTTATCTCCATTGGACAAGACAGGTTATGGAGCACACAATCAAACCGATAAAAATTAACAAGCACTGAGGTTAAGGCAAACAAAGGACCTACTCTGCATCTCACACATCATTAAAATGTGGGAAAAATAGACATTCACACTTCCAACAACCAAATTTAGTCAGGTAGATCACTAAACATAGACTAGCTCCTGTTTATATCTTTGGCAGATAAAAGAACAGTTTTGATGACATCAGAGGGGTTACTATACCTTCATTTGACTTAGCACAGATGCAAACAATAGACGTCTACGCAATTGGTATTCAAGACGAGTCGAACAGTAGAGAGGCAATAAAACCGGGATCGTATAACTGCACTCCTGCCAGACGCCACATTTCCAAAGTGACCTATATAAAGCTGCCCTGACCTCATAGGAGGTCAAGTGAGTATTTTAGCAGTGACAGCTGTTGTAAAAGGAATAATTTGCAGGCAACAGATAGCAAGTTAAAGCAGAGGCGACAGTTATTATTCATCTCAATAACAGAAATTCACCCAGGCCAGAACCCCTTAAGGCAAATCAGTAGGTGTATCCAACACCCACGATTCCATATGAAAGACTCCAGGTAATCAGGTAATCAGGTCATAGTACGCAGATAACACAGCAGCGTTTAGGTAGGGCAAGAATAATTGCCATTATCCATACAACCAAGATGCTATCCAACACACTATTGCATGGTATAGAAATAATGCGGACATTTTAGGGATTTTGTAGCGAAGGAGTTACCGGGACTACGCCTTTACTGACTGACAAGAAACGACTTCGAAATCCCCCAAGACTCCTAGGGGTATTATCACACATGGAGCAAACACGTGGATTATCAAGGTCGAAGAGGACAACCAACCGCCACAACACTTACACTGCCGACCAGAAACATCTTCTATCTATGCTAAGCTCTCAACTAGGTGACATCAGCTATCAAAATCTAAAAGAACACATGCCACACATGTGTGACACACTAAGATTAAGTGTTTTTGAGGTGAAAGACTGAAAAAAGTAGCTAACGTCCCCTCCCGGAATAGTGCTGATTGAACACTTGTTTGCCGAGGATAGAGAGTACATTAAGTGGAGTTTGACAACTTTTCAGCGGATTATTTCACATAAATCCGCCAACCAAATATCTACAGTCAAACACACCAAACGATCAGATTTCGCTCCCAAATGAGGCTGGGAAAGCAATCCGTGTATCACCTTAGTGTTGCTGTAGCATTCACATACCTTACGCTGTTCGAGAAATAACCTAATCATCAATGCCGCACAGAACTTTATGGAAACTAACTGACCGGTCAGATACAAACCACCTTTCTGGGTGGGATGAACTGGACATTTACGGATAAATTTAACGTGCCGTATGAATTTCATGAACTAGAAAACAGAACATCAATT